AAATCTCTCTAAAAAATAAAACAAAGGGGGAACCAGCAGTTAGCGTAATGGCTATGTCGCTGGATTCCCACGTAGTCGACCGCGGTTCGTGTCCCGGACCCGGTGGCTTAAAACTCACGCCGGGCGCGTGTGCGTGCGTGCCCAAGATCCCGAGAGGAGAATGGAGGAGAAGGGATTGCGGCGTGACCATCCCCCCTGGGAAGAAAGAAAGAAAGAAAGAAAGAAAGAAAGAAAGAAAGAAAGAAAGAAAGAAAAGAAAAGCACTGTGTGTTCATGCCAAAACCCTGAAAAGATAAACGGTGGAGAAAGGATTGTGGCATGACCATCCATCACGGGGAGTTCTTTTTCAATTTCTCTCTCTTTCTCTGTCTCCAGCAAGCATATGCACTCTCTAACAAGTTAAAAAATAAATAAATAAAACTTTGAATATATATTTTGCTATATACATTTTCCTCAACGTGTATTATATTTTACAACAATAACCTTTTACAATAACAACCAAAAATTATATAGTTCCTGGGAATAACTCTAACAAAAACTAGTAAGATCTCTCTGAAGGAAATTACAGGGCCAGCAGGTGGCATGGTGGTTGGGATGCTGGACCCCCACATGGCTAACCACAGATGGAGTCCTGGACCTAGCAGCTTTCTTTCCCACTTTCTCTCTTTCTCTTTCTTTCTCGTGAGCACTCATGCCCTAAAGCAAATAAAGAAACAATAATAATAAATAAAATTAAATCATTCTTTTTTTTAATGACAAAACTTTGAAAGATGTCTAATAAGTTTTTCTCTTAATTTTGCTATAGGCATGTGCACTCGCTGGAGAGAGGTAGAGAAACTGGAGAAAATGAGAAAGTACCCCCGGGGAAATGGCCATGCCTACTCCTCCATTCCTCTTGGGGTTTTAGGCATACATGCACACACACCTGGCATGATGTTCAAGCCACCAAGCCCATGACATGAACCGCACAGCTGGCCATGTGGGATCTAATCACCTTAACCACCATGCTACCAGCTGGCCCACTAAGATCTTAATAGATATGTTGTGTGTAAAGTTATCATTATTCTGGCCAGCAGATGGCATGCTGGTCACAATAAATGTAAATGTACCAAACTTGGCAACTTAAAGACCAAGACTGTCAAATTGGATTTGCTGAAGTGCACGTGTATGCATGCCCAGAGTCCCAAAAGGAGGGGAGAGGAGTGGGCGTGACCACATGCCATGAAGAGTGCCTTCTCTCCCCCTCCCTTCTCTTCTCCCCCTCTCTGTCTCTAATGACCATGGTTCTCTGGCCAAAACCAAAACAGAAACTAGGATTTGAGATAATCTGATTGGTTGGCAACTTCCCACATGTCCAGCACCTGTCCAGGGCAAAGAAAAAAGATGCTTTTTTAAGTTATTTATGGATTTCCCAGGAAATCTTGGTGACTAAGCTGTGGTGCTCTGACCCTCTGCAGTCTTCCCTCGCCTTCCAGGTCTCCACTATTTTCCTTGTCAGAAGTTTCTCAGGCCAGCAGAAGGTGTAGTGGTTAAAGCACTGGACTCCCATGTGGTCAACCACCGTTCAAGTCCTAGACCCAGCGGCTTGAAACACACTGTCACATGTGCATGTATGCCCAGACTTCCTGGAGGAGACGGATTGCAGCATGCCCATCCCCCTGGGAGTGATTTCTTAGGGTCTCTCCAGTGAACGCACATGCCCTATAGCAAAAATCTCTCAAGAAAAATGAAGAGTTTCTCAAATACTTAAAAAAAAAAAAAAAGGCAAAGAAAAACTACCTTGGCCAACAGGCAGCACAGTTCCACATGGCCAACTGTGCAGTTCGATACCCAGGCCCAGGGGCTTGAAAAACTTGCCAAGCAAGTGTACATGTGTGCCCAAAATCAGAAAGGAGGATGGAGAAGAGACTGTGGCGTGGGCATCCCCCAGTTCTCACTTCCCTTCTCTGTCTCTCTATGAGCACACACTCTATAGCAGACTAAAAATACCTGCTCCAGCTTGTCGACACCATGTGGGCAAACTGAGCTGCAGTGCTAGAGGCAGGTGGCCACCGTAGGCTTTAGGCTTCGAGTCCGCGCTGACTGAGCACACAGCCAAGCCCGAGGGGCCTCAGGCCCCCGAGGGCTGGAGGGCGGGGAAGGGGCTTGTGAACCCCCTTACCTGATGGTTAAGGGAGCCAGAGCCCATGTAGCCGACCACATGTTTCAAACCCCACCCTGGCAGCCTGAGGAAACCCTGGCACCTTAGTGCTGTGCGAGCTGTGCCCAGAACTCTGGCAGGGCCGAGAGGGAGGAGGGACAGTGGAGTAACCGGAGTGCCCCTCCTTGTGCACCCTGTAGCAAAAAAAATTTAAATGACAATAAAAATATCCGAACTAGTTTGGCCTATTAAATAAAGGTTTACACAGGCCAGATGATGGCACCATGGTCACATACCTCATTTGCTCCGGAAGGGTCCTAAGTTCGCGTCCCGGGACCTGCCTGAGCACAGACATGCACACTGTGAAGGCCGGCTGATGCAAATGCAGCGTGCACACGGCGAGGGCCAGCCAACATGGGTGTGAGTGCACGCGGCAAGGGCTGGCTGACGTGCTGCGGCAGCAGGAAAGACCCTGCCGGTGGTGGGGTCTGGCTCGTGACATAAACAAGTCAACTTAAAAGTGAGCAATCAAGGCTGACAAGGAAGTGGAGCAATTTCAAGGCGCCCTCAGTCTTTGGTGGCGGGGGAGGGGGTGGGGGCAGAGTGGGGAAGACGGGCAGTCACAGCGAAGGCCCTCCAGGCCCAGAGCCCTCCCCTCGCAGGCAGGCTCCAGGCCCAGGCCCGTTCCTCAGCCGGACGGT